AATAGGACGTTTATCTAAAACACTCAACTTTCACTTTATTCTGTCAGTTTTGTCTTTTCATTTAAAAGGATTTTTAAGTGAGATATTAAGTCTTATGACATTATGCATGCTTTTTATTTTTTTTGTCTAATGAGATTAATAGTCTGTCTCTGGAAGTAACAATGGATTTGAATGTTTTTAGATATTGACTTGTAAAGCTGTATTGTATGTCTATTTGTACTTTTATTTAATTAATTTTGGTTAGAGCATGTTAGCTGTAACTGTTGAGGGACGTATATTTAGATCAGCGGTTGTGGTAATGGAGTATTTTCCATATGTGATTGTTCTTTTTGTTTTAACCTTTTAACCCTCAACCCCAAAATCACCAAAAACATCTGAAAAGGTATACGCAAATTAAATCAGCTGATGTTCTTGAACCATTTGGAGTACATGTAAAAGCTCAACCAACCAACTATCCATCGATCCATCCATCTATTTTCTAATACCCTTGTCCCTTAGTGGGGTCAGGAGGGTTCCTGGTGCCTCTCCAGCTAACATTCTGGGTGAGAGGCGGGGTCATCCTGGACAGGTCGCCAGTCTGTCGCAGGACAACACAGAGACAGACAAGACAAACAACCATGCACACCTAGGGAGAATTTAGAGAGACCAATTAACAGTCTTGTTTTTGGACTGTGGGAGGAAGCCGGTGTGATAAAGGCTTCCTCCCTTTATCACAAGGAGATAAAGGGCCTCCCCTTATCACAGGAGGCCCTGTGATAAAGGGAGGAAGCCTTTTGCATGATCTCCCTGCACAGGGAGATCATGCAAACTCAATGCAGAAAGACCTGGGCTGGGAATCGAACCCAGGACCTTCTTGCTACAGTGCTCAGTTTTGTCAATGTGAAATTCATTCTTATGTTGATATTTGGATATTTTCTTTGGGACAAACTGGTTGCCATCAAGGTTCACTTTCAAATGTATGTTCCGATGTCCTCTGTAGTGGACGCATAACATTTCAAAAATAAAAACGTTTTTTCCCCAAGAAATGTTTGTAGTATTCTAATTACATTACAAAGATTGTGGAATTAAAAAAAATGGTGATTGGACAATATTTTGTATTCCTGGTAGTCAGCAGGATAAGGTAAACAAACCAGCTTTAATGTAGCTTTAGTACCTGTAAAAATATTCACTCAAATCTTTGTAAAATAAAAACAAGAGTCTGAAAAGTGCAGCCAGCTTTTGTGTTTAGCTCCCGAGTCGATACTTTGTAGAAGTATTTATTGTTGCTGTGGTTTTACGGTATGTTTCTATCAGCCTCTAGACGCTGACCTTTGACCTTTCTGCACATTGTTCTGAACAGAAAAGCTCAAACTGAGTCTCTGCACATGAGATGGATTGATATGTATTTGTTCACCATTCAGAGATACATTCACTCTTTTTGGTCATGTTATTTACATTTTCAATGTTTTGAAGGCAGTTTGGGCTAAATGTGTTAATGTCTAGTGTGATTTGGTGGATGTAGTGGCCGAATGCAACCAGCAGGGGGAGTCTAGCGGAGTTCCCTCGCAGTAATCTACATAATTGAATACTGTAAGTCCTTTTTACGGTGGCCGCCGTACTTTCTGCGCGAACGTTCCAGATTACAGAACAGTTTTTGGTGAATAAAGTGGAGCAGACTTGCTTCATGTCAGATGACTGAAAACGTTGAAGTATCGTTTCTGCTTCAGCGGTTTAAGCAGAGAGGTAATGAAATACAACAGACACTGACAGGCCTCTGTCTGCCTTTCTCTGAAGAACTACTGAGGGGAGGAGACAGCCAGGTGAGGAAAAACTGTTCTTATCTATCGATTCAGTATTTTTATCATACAGACATTAGGCTGTTGTTGTGCTATTAGCTAGCTGCTAGCTAACGACTTTGCTAGCAAAGCTAGATAACTGAAAAGCTTCTTCCCTGTGTACCAGGCACATCGCCCGTCCAAAACTTATCATCTCCATAATAGATATATGTCCGATCTTCTAATTTCCTTTGCTGCATAATGTACATTGCATTTATTCTAGCTTTAGGTAAACATGTCTTGAAAGAGAATAGCACTTAAATAATAGTCCAACAAGGATATTCATTTAGAATTAAAAATAACTCACCCTGAATTATCATGATAGATATAATGTGTGTCA